AATAGCACACATATACAATGTTTTTTGTAAAAAAAATTCTTTTTATATTCGGCTAAAAGTTGCAAATAAATTCCAGCACTAATCCAAAATGGTCTACAACCGTTCGTTGAGCGCTCTTGTATTTGATTGGCGGATTCCATTAGACCCCAAAATATAGACGCACAGGTACAAGAGTTCATTGAACGCTTTAATTAAATTTCTTTCATCTGATTAATCAAATGTTTCGAAGTATTTGTAGCGCCAAGTGGACACTACCGTGGACAAATAAGTTTAAAATATATAAAATAACTATGAAAGTAACTATTAAATTAGTTACTAGTTACTTAAAAGATGTAACTAAGTTAAGTTATAATTACAGATGGAAAGAAAGTAACGAAGTTAAGTTACAGTTACTGAAAAAAAATAACTCTAACTGTAACTTCGTTACAAGTAACGAGTTACTTCCCATCCCTGCAAAAAGGATTCGCTAAATTTTATCAGCCAGAAAGCTGCTATGCTTCTATCAAACAACACCTATCGATGCTGGTAGAAATATCACAAGCTTTGCCAACAAAATACATTACACGAAACAAACTTCGAAACATACGCAGCGTCTAACGTAATTTGTTGACGGAAATTTAGCAATAGGATCGGCTTCAATTTTGTTCAAGGCTGCGTTCGACAAATTCTACTCGGCTTTCGTGATCAATGTTATACCATTAATACTGCCAATGTTACGCTTGCAAATGCAAACTGCGTTTTAATCGTTCTAGACGAGAACGCAAGCTTAATGTTGATTCGTTTTAATTTGTGCTCGGATCTGCACCGATCACCTGTTCCTGAATAATATTTAACTTGATTCTTTTTTTTATATACATATATAACGTTACTTACTGGCATTAAAGTCCCAATGCGCGGTCAAATTAGTCCCTCTGTATAAATCACAAGGAGAACTATTGCATCCCTCTACTATCAATGACTTGGGTGGAGGTCCATCATCACACCGAGCGTACGGAGTGTACTGTAGAGACGCTGCGACGCAGATCGCAAGGATGATGCAGGCTGCAGCGTAAATAAAAAGTGTAAACAGTCAAAAAATGCGTTTCGAAGTAAACACTATGTAAATCGAAAAAGAAATTAACAGTTGGCAAAATTTACCGGATGCGAAAGCTTTCATGTTGGCGTCTTCACTGGAGCAGTGGCAATCGATGTGATTCTCAATCGGTGAAATAATCGCTTATTTATTAGCACGATAATATCTAATCGAACACCTGGCCGCCCTAAACACTGATAAGTTTTAATTCGAATGAAAAAAAAAAACTCCAGATACTCAAGAGCTAACACCTGCACCGATGACATTGCAAGTTTATAGATCATAAACATAACATTCTTTCGCTGAACAATCAAAGTAATCTATCAACAATTAAATAAAGCAATCGTTGCTTTTGATAAATCCAATTTAGGAATTGTGTTATATGTTCGGACCAAAGAAATTCAAAAATTTTATTCCGTTAAACTTAAGTTTATTTTGACCGACAATTACATTATTCTTCGAAACCGAATAATAAATGTTATTCGCCGTGGATCGGCTGCCTCTTTTGTATCAGTCTTCGTGATCTTTCTAGAATCTCAGTGTTTCGATCGTAATATTTCCCTCGCAATGACCTCGTATATTTAAAGTAACGGCCTATTGTTAATCATTTAGCAAATTAGAATAATTATATTTAATTTAATTACATAGCAAATATTTATTTAATATAACAGAGGCCAATATAAGGGAGCGAAAAAGAGTCCGTTCATTTCTTTACTTGTACAGAAAAACTTTATAAGAAGCTAAGTGGAAATGAAAAGAATTATCGTGATATTATTTTTGAGCGGACCGATCCACGAACGTCACGTGTGTACATATCCACGTGTGTTTCATATGTTTATTCTAGCGTGCATGTATGTACATACTCGTATTTCCAAACAGCTGATTTCTATTGTCTCGTGCTACTATTTATAGCTTTCTCACGAATTTTAATATTTCACTTGCTATATATATATATATATATATATATATATATATTACAGCTGAATGGGCAGTAACAATGTAATTGTCACACCACAGACAGCTGCATCAGCCGCACGACATCAATGAATAAAATAATATAAAAATGCCTCACTCGAGCCAACCTCATAGATTATTCGTTCGAAAAAATACCTCCAATCAAGATTGTAAAAGAGAGGAAAAAAGGGGAGAAACTATACAATAATTAGTCTTCTATTTTATAATGTTGTAATGTCACATTCAATTACAATTTCTTAAATGAATAATTATAATATTCTTTTTTTGAATAAAAAAGAAATGCAAAAAAGCATTGAATGTAACAAAGAAGAAAAATTCTATTTAGTAAGATAATAACAATAATTCACTTTTCACTGGCCTTCCATGATGGTGTTACAACGAAACGTTGTACCAATCGGTCGCGCATAGATATCGGAGTGCTTTTGAATAAAATACGATAAAAGAAGTATCTCCATGACTCACATCTGAAAATAATATAGCGATCGTTGCTTTAATATATATAATCAACGCAACAACTGCGATATTTTTCGCTTGAATGAGCGATCTTTACAAATTGTACCATAAAAATTAAACGTAGATAATAATATATAATATAATACTAGCCAACGAATTTACACATTAAAATCGCTGCTTGAACGAATATAATTGTTTGCCATAATTTTTTAGATGTTGACCATGAATTCGTTTTGTAAATTTGGCTATCACATCACAATTTTGAGAAAAATGATATCAAAATGATTAAAACGACGAGATTTTAAAGCCCTTTGTATGTAATTAAAACATAAAAAAAAAAACATTTTATCTCGTTTTAATTCTGCGGAAAGTAGTATTTGTGAAAAGTAAATGCTTTTGTATCTAGAGTAAGTGCGGGTAATATGGCAGTGTGGGGAATTTGCCACACATTTTGTTTTACATTGATACTGATTAGCAGCGCTTCCGTCAGTGCTACAACATCGTGCATGATTGTGTGCTTGACATCTTGCATAAGTATCAACAATTTCCTGGCAACAGTATTATTTTTATGAGGTAACTATGACGGCATGGTATACGAAAACGTGCTTCTTGTAACTTTCATAGTGTCTTATGTAAGTTATTATTCAAGCGTTACACAATATTTAGCTCGAATAGCTTGTTAACCTATAAATATGGGTTAAAATAAATATATTCAGTACGTCATTGATTCATTTTCTTAACAGTCATATTGTACAGGCTCATTATAAGATAAAATGGCGTCTTGGGGTAATACGCCATTACTTTTATTAGGGTAAAATGGCAGTACTATCATTTCCTCTAATATAGGTTAGGATGCTATAAACAAGTACGTTTTGCCGCATAATCCCGTTGTGACAGAATATCCGTATTGACAAATAATTAATAAATAAACTTAAATGTGCCTCAAAGTTTACATTTTGTATAGGTAACTTAACCTAACCCTAACCTAACCCTATCGAAGTTACCTATGTTACCTATAATCTTATATTGTTTATATTACTTAAGTTATTTTCATCATAAAAATCATTAATAATATGTTCAAATGTTTATTTTTATCATAAAAATCATTATTAATGTGTTTAAATGTTTATTTTCATTATAAAACTAATTAATAATGTGTTCAAATGTTTATTTTTATCATAAAAATAATTAATAATGTATTCTTGCAATAAAAAACAAAATAAACGTCATATTTAGCTTTTTTTGGTATGTGGCATATTACCCGCATGGTGGGCATATTACCCAATTGTCAGCACTTCCGTATTTCTTTATTTTTAATAACAAAAAATGAATATATTCGATTCTAATTATATACAAATGATAGATAAAGGATGGAAGAAGAAGATCAGTATGTAAAATTACTTTAAATTGAACAAATAATTACTCAAAAATCTAATTTCGTTTAAGTGTGGCATATTCACCCCACTTATCCTATATGATATAATCCAATCATACTATTAGGTGTTAAACTTAATTCCTATCGCTCGTTACTAGAGGGCTCTGCCTCCAACGCTGACGAGTTTCGACGATGAAGTCACATGTCTTTTGTAGTTTAGACATCGCTGAAAGTGATTCAATCCTCACAGGTTAGATTTCTCGACGCCAAAGAGATTTTCAAATCGATTGAAAATAAATCGCGATAAGCTGTTTTTCCGACATGTGCTTCTTCACTACTTCGACCTCAATAGAATCCTAGATTTATCAGAGAGACGCAACCGGCTTAAGTCAGTATGACAAAGGTGCTAAGGAGAGTACTAAACATGGCCGACATGCTATGAAATTGCCTTTAAACTATGTCAAACAAGATAAGACGTGTAGGATAATGTGAGATAAAATGTATAGGATAAAATGAAATAGAAATATGTCACTAGTACTATAAATGGCTGCCAAGTCACGCAATTGGTTAGATTGCAACAGCGAATCAGAATGCATAACATTGGTTAGGCCTCTCTGATAAATCTAGGATTCTAGACCTCAAGAAAACCGCAGCTGAAGCGCATCGCTTATTATCCGAAATATATGGTGATGAAACTCCATCAGAACCAACATGTAGAGTTTGGTTTCAAATTTCAACGCTTCCGAAACGGTGATTTTGATGTGAGAGACAAAGAACGTCCAGGACAGTCGAAAAAATTTGAAGATGTCGAGTTGCAAGAATTCCTTGATGAGAATCCAGCTCAAACACATTTAGAGTTGTCGAAACAGTTAAATGTTACTCCAATGGAGTAACGTCTTAAAACGTTTACATGCCATGGGAAAGATCCATAAGGAAGGGAGATGGCTACCACATGAGTTGTCAGAAAGTGCCATTTCAAATCGTTTGACTATTGCGACTTCTTTG